TGCCTAATCTATAAGATCTTACGTGGAAGTCACACCATCAACTACACCAACTCACTGTATCGTATCAATTACCAATACATGATGTAGAACAAGGTTAGGCTAGAGAAAGAACAATATATTTAATATGAAAAGAAGATATAAAGTAACATTCAGCAGAGACCACGCCTGCATGGCCGAGCCATGCCGTTCGATCAACTCTAGTTTATTCAATTCATTATTCGCGCCTTCTCCATCGTTAGGTATTTCTTCGCGTTAAATATTGAATACCTATTTTCCGAGTAATCTCGTATTCAGCTTTGAGGATAGTGTGGTTATGGTCCAATGCCACTACACTACTCTCCCACCAGAATCAACGTAGTGTTGGTTCGATACCAAATTGGATGGGGTCGTCGCGCGCCGGAGGTTACCAAGGATAATAAGAATCCTCCGGGTGATGACAAGCTGAAAGATAAATCAAAAAGACGGCAGCATCTGGTCGGGAAATACATGTAATAATTTTAAAATATCTGCCTTCATGCTTAAAACGCTTACAACGAAAATTTGAGTGATTATTTGAGCAATAAAAAAAATTGGGATTACAATAATAGTAATAATAAAACGATGCGTGTGTAATAGCCGTTGGTTGACAACTTAACGTATAGGTAGTATGTATTTTGTGTTTAGAAATATTAAAGTTATGAATATTGTAGAAATGTTAATATTAGTACCACTTTTAGTCTAACTTATGAAATCAAATAACGATTATGCCGGTAAGTTGTCCATATGAGTCGATTTCCAATTGCATCTGTATTAGTAGGCTAACTGAAGGAACAAAAGCATTATCGTGGAGAAGAATTCCAACTAGTGTTCCAGTTAGTTTGATACGGTTTATTTAGTTACGGGGAGATTTTTTCAACCCCATGTTTACCTGACCGTGATAGAATTTAGTAATACTACTAATACACATGAATGGTTATCAAAACAAAATTTAAATACATGAGTGAAAATTATATGAGTTTTGGACAGATAGCTAAGAACAAATCGTTAAACATGAGTGTATTCGTAAGAGACATGCTCTAGACTCAATGTTCTGATCTGTGGCAGACTATTTATTTATATTTATACTTGCCGGCTGATTGGACATACAAGTTAGTTGCACGTATGAAGGCAGAATACGACTTAATTGAGATATAGTGGTTATAAGTTATTAAAATTAGCTAAGCCCATGTGTCATATTACTAAGTGATGTGCTGCAAGATGTATTTAGCTAAATAATTTTTTTACAAGATGATTAATAGTGAGTGATGCTCATGTGATTATCAGGGAGAACATAAGTTGTAACCAAGGGGAGTGCACTCCCAACTCATGCCTATGATAATAGCTTGAACCTTAGTCAGTGTTGGGGTAAATTCAACATTTATGTTTTCAGTTTGCAGGAGATTTGCTCGACTGCTTATACTGATTATTTGCATGCATGATTGTGTCGCTAAACCATCAACTAGACTGACAAGGTTTTGAGATATTTACTGAATGAGCAATTGATAGAGAAACATACTGTAATCATCTGTAGTGAATGAAGAAAAACAACACTAGTGATAATTATAAGTCAATTTGCTGACCTATTTTGTTAATAGTTTCATTAATTTTTATCAATCATATTACGTGATTGTCAAGTCATGACAATGCTTTATGAAGATATCCTGAAACTATTATGTTTAACTAGTTATAGTGTTGATTGAAGACTGGCCAGTGGAAAAATAGGCATTGTTGTTTTAGGTGATTCAAAATTATCAGAAATTTATAACGTTAAAGAATCCGAGACGCCTAATTTAATTATAAATTTCAATTCAGAAATATTTGTTTAATGTTAATTTTAGTAGGCTCCGGAGCTCTGATGTTAAACATCTATTTAGCCAAAAACTACCTGAGATTTTAGTTATTTTACAAGTGTAGTTGATAGTCTCTAAATTTGTAATTTTATTATTTAAACTATGTCCGTATTTTAGGCTGCTAATATGATAAACCAATCCATAAACCCAAATACGATTAGCAACAACGACTATGATGGGTTTATTGATAAATGTTAAAGGCGATTCAGATGATTTCTGAATTCAAAAGACATGAAGATATAGTGTAACGTATGTATGAACCAGGCTAACATGCAGGTTGTTGACGTATATGACGATTTAAAAATAATGAACATGACCAGACAAGTAATTTTAAAGTTTAGACGGCTTGTGAAACTTCAGGCAGGAATATGACGCGTTATAAACATTCCATAAGAAGTTACTGCATTTAGCCTAGGGATACTTACAAATATATGGCAAAAGCAGCTAGGAAACATACATGTTAAGTACAAAAAATCATTAAGTGAAATGGTTGAACTCGCCTGGATTATTTTTGAAAATTAGATTATTCAGTGGACGACATATATAACGCCATTCGTGAGGAGTAATGATCCAAAAGTATCCACAATAAAACATGCAGTATGGCAATTAATTCCAGGGTGTTTGATGCTGTTGCCACTCGCTCAGATCAAAACAATCGAATGAATCCAGATAATTGTGTCAGCCATTGAACGAGCCATCTAAAATGACCTTATGATTGCAGGAAACTTATGGCTGAAACTCACCGTATGTTTTTAGAGAAGTGTCATCCTTGTTGTTTGGCAATGGAACTCGAGAATATGAAATTAGGCAGGCAGTGGTCGGAAGAAAAGGATAGTGCATAGTTTAAAACAGGATGAGGTGTTAAGCGAAGAAACACCAAGAATTAGATCCAGATAACTATTCAATCCTTGATTGCATTGTTAGCTAATGTATATTTACGCTATTTACAGGTCATATTTGCTAGAGCTTGATGTTTAAACAAGTTTATGTCGCTGAAGCAGGTATATGCTATTAAAGCTTGTTAACGAACCATCAAAGCTAATTAGTTGATATAGATTATCAACTTTTATTATCGATTGAGCTAGTAAGTTATGTGAACTAATAGATATAACATTACGATAATATATGTGACCATTAATCAAAGGACTATAAGAATACTGGGTTTACAAAAATAAAAACCGATTGAGAAGGTTAAGGTGGAAATAAGGTTGCGTTTCTTTAGTTGGGCTCACCAATGTAGAACTTATGGTCTACTATGATATTAGTACTGCTCTAATAATAAACCTAATCCTAAATCTGTGGATTTGTCATGATATGACTGCCTAATCTATAAGATCTTACGTGGAAGTCACACCATCAACTACACCAACTCACTGTATCGTATCAATTACCAATACATGATGTAGAACAAGGTTAGGCTAGAGAAAGAACAATATATTTAATATGAAAAGAAGATATAAAGTAACATTCAGCAGAGACCACGCCTGCATGGCCGAGCCATGCCGTTCGATCAACTCTAGTTTATTCAATTCATTATTCGCGCCTTCTCCATCGTTAGGTATTTCTTCGCGTTAAATATTGAATACCTATTTTCCGAGTAATCTCGTATTCAGCTTTGAGGATAGTGTGGTTATGGTCCAATGCCACTACAGGGTAACAAAGCATGAAGATACTTAATTATTTTGTATCATAATAGACTATGGTTTGCCAGAAAAAGTCACATATCATCAAAATCTCAAAAATTGAACAAAAAGATAAACTACGGAAACAATTTTGAGATAGAGTCATTAGTAGATCAGGCTCAGTCACCAACATTACCGAAATGTCCATGATCTGTTGTATTCAGCTCACTCCGAAGGCTTGAATGTCACTAGAATAAACAATCTGGTTGTATAAAGATAAGAAAGTGTTTGAGTCTAGCCTCAGATTATGTTTTGTGTAGATTTAATGTTTAGAACAGTGTATTTGAAATCGAAGAAAGACAGAACAAAAGGTGCTAGTAGGCTCTCCATTAATCATAGTGATAGACATTAGAGTGTTCAACAGATATACATGAAGTTAGTGACAAGTATTTCCAACTTTTCCTACTGACAACACTGTTGTCCGTAACATAATTAAGAGCGAGGACCACAAACCCAGTCAAAAAAGACTGCCATAAGTGAAAGTGTTCTAAGGTTTATTTGGAACGTAGTCCATATTTCGAAAGGTATGTGATGTCAGCTGACGAGTTGTTGCGTGATCGAGCATTCAGCTATAATGTGTTTAGTAAAGTCAATCACATCAGAGTCCAAATTGATATACTGCTACAGACACTTAGACTATGATTAAGAATTCTTAGAGCAAAATTCCGGTCTTATCAGAAAGCTCTTGATAACTGGAAGTCTATCCAAATCAGTGACAGTGACTCTATCTGTGAGCGGTTGCAATGTGAAACTTGATTTTCACAGAAATATTGAATTATAGAACCTTAAAGATAGACGCAATTTATATCCTAATTTGGCTAAAACCTTGAGAATCTATGCTGATGACTCGTTGGGTACACTGTATGAACTTCATCGACTGGTAAAAGTGATAACAAATCATAGAAATACATGCATCAGATAATGAAAATTTGATTATCGAAACTATATTTGAATGTGCTACCATGCGAATTACCAAGCTGTGACTCGTAGTGCCGGAAATTCGCAGAAACTATATATACACTGTTGTGAAATTTTTAGCACTCATTAAAACTTTGGTGACTTCTGAGGCAATGGGAACTTGTAGTTCACTCTCCATTTTTCAAGTATTGTGTGAGTATGTAGCGTGGTGTCGAGTCCCAGTTGACTATGAACACTGCTACTGAGAAACACGTGCCAATAAAATAAGAAGGTGGAACAGAACCAAGTTTATTTGATTTTCGATCTCGTGGTATCGGAAGAATACCAAGATCGTGCCAAGAAATTGTACGAGCAGTAGCGGCAGAAGGGAGTACGTGCGAGCAAAGTCACTACCCACGAAATAATAATAGAGAATAATGGAAGCACAATATGTCTGTCATTAGCACAGTTGAACAAACGAGCACAGTAAAACAATCACTGGTACAATTGGTTATAATAATAATTGTTTTCATTAAACCAATCGCGTTATCGTGACAAAAGTGAGTCACTACAAGTTACTGTTTGGTCACGCTGTTTTGTTCATAAGAGGCTAACAGAGAACAGGACTGTGTAATAATATCGACAATTGAAGGTAAAGAAATATCATAGTTTACACTGACTGATACGAAATTATTGGATATTGAACAATTAGGTCAGATTCAGTATCTTCGCTCGCGCGGTTTCGTTACTCGTCACGTTGTTTAAGGGATGACTGAACAATTGGTGTTTCGGGGCACTCTGTCTGGACATCGAGGGTGGGTCACACAGATAGCGACGAATGCTACCCAACCCGATCTTCTTGTCTCAGCTTCTCGAGGTATATTTAACTACTGACATAGATATTTCAGATAAATCTCTTATTGTATGGGACCTAAGGCGACAATCTGGTGAATATGGAGTACCTGTGAGGTCTTTACATGGACACAATCATTTTGTCAGTGACGTGGTTATGTCATCTGATGGGTTATATGCCTTATCAGGTTCATGGGATAGCACCTTAAGACTGTATGATCTCGAAACTGGAAAAACAACTCGTCGGTTCTGTGGACACGAAAAAAGCGTTCTGAGTGTTGCTTTTAGTGCAGACAACAGACAGATAGTTAGTGGGTCACGTGACAAAACTGCAAGGTTGTGGAATACTTTGGGTCATTGTAAGTATGTATTCACCGATGGTGGGCATACTGACTGGATTTCATGCGTCCGATTTTCCCCAAACACTGATCATCCTATTGTTGTTACATGTGGATGGGACAAGCAAGTGAAAGTAAGCGATATGATATTCTGTAATTCATTTTTCCAGGTCTGGGGGTTAAGCGACTGCAGTTTACGCACAACACATTACGGACATACTGGTTATCTCAACACAGTGACAGTTTCACCAGATGGTTCTCTTTGTGCAAGCGGAGGAAAGGATGGACAAGCAATGCTATGGGACTTAGCGTTAAACAAGTTCCTGTACACCCTGCCTAGCGGTGGAATAATCAACGCATTATGTTTCTCTCCTAATCGTTATTGGCTTTGTGCTGCAGTCGGATCCAGCATCAAAATATGGGATTTAGAAAATAAGGTCTTAGCTGATGATCTGCGCCTTGAATTGATATCAGGAAATGCACCTGCCAAACGATCAAAATCTTCCTGCACATGTCTTGCGTGGTCTGCTGATGGTCAAACCTTATTTGCTGGGTACTCAGATAATCTCATTCGTGTTTGGCAAATGGCTTAGTAACAATAATATGTATGATGTACTGATGGGACCAAAGATTTTTTATTTCAAGTGAGGTTGTATGTGTTTACGGAAGAATTCTTACTGATAACCCCAGCACTGTTTACGTAGTACAATAAGGTTTATGTAAGCCAGGGTATGTATTTCTCGATGCACAGACTTCTCATTATATTTAGTCTATAAGCGGAGAAAGTTCATTTCGTTTGCTTGAAACCCAGTAGAACAAGTTAGCTGAGGAAATAAAGGATTGTGTTAAGATTCAGTGGCATCACATGAACAACCATTACAGTTTTTAACTGGTTTATACTCAATTACCATATAACGTACTTAATGTATCTTGTTGCCATAATCTTCGCTGTTATAAACTATGCATTAAGCCAGCCACAGATGACGCTGCCCGTTAGCGAAGCTTAACTATTTCAATTTACGTTCGTTATTAGTTTACGACTAAATATTTTTCCAGTCTATTGGAATTTGACCACTATCAATATACTGATGATTAGTGTCAAGTCTGATTCTAGTTGGTCATTATTTTGGAAACGTAACTCCACATATGAAAGCAATTAAAATTATGCTCTTCAAGTCCCCAGCGTCCCTGTTGTAAATTAAATTTATAAAGAAATGTCACTTTAAACGTTAGTAGTTTCAGTGCACTAATCATTACGTATATATACATAAAACAGTCGCGGTAATATTCCATGATTGAGTGATGTGCAGTTGAGTGGATACAAAGTCGATTCGAAAGCCATGTAAGCAAATCATTTCGAATTGTAATGTTAGTAAACTCTAGGAAAGAATTAGCTATGCAACTGGTCGGTCGCGTTGAAACAGTTTATTCTATAAAGGCTTGGGGAGATATTGTTCACTGATTGGTGGAGTTCAGGTGTATATCTTCGTAGACTTGGAGAACGATGAGCGGCGACAACTCAAATGTAGGCTAACCAAACGTAACAGTAGACAGGGAGAGCAAAGCCGCAAAATGTAGGAAGAATAAATGCTTCTAAACAGCATTGCTTTCTGGTTGGTGAGGCGTATTACAAAGTTCAGGTTGCGGTGAGGCTTTTAGATGTGGATTTCATAAACGTTCACTCCCAATTCAGGGGTTGGACCAGTGGGGAGATTACTCTAAAATACCATCCAACTGATTTTTACGTACTCTTTCCAAAGAAATGAGTATGTCGGCTCGGACCCTCCTATCTATGGTCACTGATAATTTAAGGCGAAAAAGGACAGTTATTTAAATACAGCAGAATGGGTGAGTCACTACACTTATCATGAAGATCTGACCCTGTCGTTCGGTGTCTGCCCATGCTTCAAAAAGCTGAGTTGGTGTTTGCCAAATCCAGTAGCTTGTGGTGTTCGTCCTCTAATCACAGGACATGCATATCACGTAGCAGTCCTTATTGTCATATCTCATGTCTGTGAAACAGTCTATGAAGCTGAAGACATGTGTAGACTGGAGGTTTCTAATCATAAGTATTTATGACCTATTGCAAAGCAACGAAGTGAATATTATAGAAGTTAGAAACATTAGGTCGACTGCGGTGTTTAAGACATGTTTCGTACGTCTGACCACTGCGACGCTTGACGTGAACTTCAGGGATCGTAGGTAGCACGGACTTCTTGTGATTAAAAACAACCTACGTTGTAGCAGTCACATAAAACAATAGGTCAGCCTGCAAATACCATTTACACTACATGGTTTGTTTTCGAAAACCAGAATTACTATTTCATTATATGTCGCTTTCGATGCAGTGTCCACGTTGCGGTAGCCTCACTGGCTTCATAAGACGTATTTATCTCAACCTCCCGCAAAACCCAGATAGTCTTAAGTAATGTTTCCTGCTCTCATTTCGATGTTCCATAGCAACGCTAAATCTCTCAACTCATTATTATGACCATGAAAACAGCAGTAGCGTGGGTATGCAAAATTACGGAAGCAACTAGTGTATACTATTGGTGAATATGATCAGAGCAGTGTAGGTTCTAGAACAAAAGGTAGTTCGCCGGCTAATTTCGAGAGGTACAAACAGGAAAGACATGTCACTTTAAGCAATGGTAAGTGATAGGGCCGGATTGATGCTCATTTTCTTAAGCACTTCCCAATATTCTTTGTTTGATGATGGGTGGTTTGAATCTGTTTAAGATAGTTCAGTTACATATGCTCAATAGTTAGTTGAAAGGAAACGTCTTACAGCTTAAAAGAGCGATCTCACAAACTGAAATATAATTCATAAATTGTGATTACTTATACGAGGTTACTCAACAAGTGTGGACCATCGACTCAATAATGTATAGTAGCTTATGTCATTTGAGTAATCAGATGATATGCGATGAAAGTTCTATGGAGGTGCACAGCAAACAATCACCTGTATACTATTTAGTAATGCTGTTAGTACAAGTCTATAGAAGCCAAATAAGTTCGGGAGATCGAAATTTGCGCATTTTGACACTACTAGAATTTATTCTTAGCTGGAGCAAATAAATTCAATATTTGGGAGCGGTTATATTAAGATACCATCCTCAAGCATGAATGGATAGGAAATCGATGGTTAATGTTAGGGAATATTCATTTAGGCCACCAGGAACTGGTTTTAATGACTTATTTTAATTGCCATTTATCAAATATTACTCGTTTCAGTTAGGACACGATTGCATAGTATGACTAAAGTAAAATAATGATGCGTATGGGTGATAAAAGAGAGGAAGTAGTTACCACTGGTTGAAAAATAAATACAGATTGGGTACTGTATTAAGTACAATTGGTTCGTTACATCAACATATTCCCCTGTATGCCCCACGATGTATTTTATTAGACCATCCTAACTTTTAAGTAAAAGTACTTCTCTTCACGTGAAGAGAAAAGGTTGTTTTGAAAACGAAGTCCCTGACTTTAATACGCTTGTATATAGTTCTGAGATGGGATCGTCGATACGTAAAAAATTAATGCTAATACAGCTTGTCTCAAACAATCTAAATTTATTGAAATGATATTTCTCTGCGAACTTAAGTTATCATATAATCTTATCTATTTAATGCCGTCCCGAGTTATTCGCTTTACCTACATCGTAAATGTCTGTACACTACTTCTTGTTTGTAACACCGCAAAGTAAACTGATGTACGAATATAATTAGTATTGTGTTACTTATTGTGCCACGCACTTAAGCAATGATGCTTTTATGTTGACGTTATACATGACTAGGTTTCAAAATGGTTTACTTTAACATCCAAATTGATGGTATGGAGTGAAGTAGTTGAATGGGTTGAACACCTCACTTATCTTGAAAGTCTCCAACCTTGATGAGTCAGTGTCTAACAGTCTCAACACACATTCAAAAAGCTGTCCTTAAAACATAATCTAGGAGAGTGGAAGATATGGATAGACTATATGTTTTGGTCATATGTTATCGGAACAATGCTCGTGTATTGTGGGTCAATTGAGTGAGCAATGTCAAGATACTAGAATAAATTGGCAAGTCGGTTAGTGAGGTACCGAGTTGCTACAGGTGTCTTCCTTATTATCATTGGTACTATACTGATTCAATACCTTTACTACTCATCTTTTTAAATCCGTTCCAATGTGATGTGATATGGCAACGTGTGTTAACGTACATTTGTCTGCTTCTGTGTCCGTCATGACAAACTGACCTCTAAATAATAGTTAATCATTTGGAAACAAAATAAAATCCATTTAAAATTGTATATTAACAATTGCAATAATAGACCTATGTTAATATATGTTGACTGACAGAAGAGAATATTTTCGAGTGTATTTATTAAAAGTATGTGCTGGTGGATTACAAACGGTTATACAAGAAATCGGGTTAATAAATACGAAATACTTTTCAAGCCAAAATAGATTTTGTATCCACTTCGACAAGGTTTTTCATACCTTCAACTGTAGAAGACCATTCTTTCAATCGGGCACACATACTTCCAATCTAATAATAACAGGAAACGTCGGAAAATCAATGAAAGTATTTAAAATTTAAATCAGTGAAAATGGAAATTTTCAATAGTTTGATGTTTAGTTTATAAAACATTAAGTATAAGAATGAAAATAGCTAGATTAGCTACAAAGCTAAAACCTAATATGAAGAAAACAGTAGTTAATAGAAAATGCGTCAAAATACTTCGTTCAATACAAAAATGAGCTACTATCCAATCCATAAGGAATAAGCTTCAGACCTTGAATTCACTAACCTCTAGTTTTAGCCATGTTGGTAGACGCAGACTAATTAGTTGCGGTCCGCGCGACTCGTAACCAATTGTTGGAGTCTGAGTAACATGGCTCAGAATCTATCACAATGGTGTAGGTGTAGACACTCTTTGTCTTCCCTTAAACTATGGGATTAAAATCGCTTCATATCTTTCTTTATACGAACTAGTTCTTTCCCCCTGTATCATATCCTTACATGCAATCATTCTTCTACACATTACTATCATTGAAGTAACTACTTCTGTGAATCCGGTATTTATCTTGCTGTGCTAATGAGATGTGACAATTTGGATCGATGCATATATGTGCCTGGTTCTGCGTTGTAGCTAACAGAAGCCTTGATAGTGTAACACAACAAGCATGTATACATTGCCACTAACAGATACGGTTTGAATATATAGTGTGAAAACTAACGGGGAAGTCTGGTTACTTTAGATATTTCACCACCGACCAAAACTGGGTTATAGATTCATATCAGTAGCGACGAAATACATAACTAATCCTGCGTATCAATTATTTTAGTTTCATGAAGGCACTTCATTTTTTTATCTAGAAGAGGCCAAGGACTAAAAATCGAGCAGAATCATGTGAATTCATTCTCCCAACTCTCAGTCATAACAGGGAAATTGGCAGTCGTCGACCAGAAGCCTTGGAAAATTTTAGTAAATCAATCAGAAGTCCAGTATCGAAGACATCTTGAAATATGACTTTTAGAACTAACTTACGCCCTTCTGTTTTACCAAAGTAACTGCTTTGATATACACATGTAAATTTTTATACGCAGTTGGCAGCAATGTATAAAGGGTTACTATTGATCTTTGATTACAGTAGAGATTAAGTTATACTGTACAAGATAATTAACTTGACTGCACAATACGTTCTAGCTAATGTGGATTCTAATCTTCTGTTTAGCGTCATTGCAAAGTGACCATGGTTGAATTCAGGTTCAATAAAAATATTTTTGTCTGTTGTGGTTTCTTTAGGCGTTTTGTCTTCACT